GATGTCTCAGTCCTAAGAGTGGTGGCACCACTCTCAATTCGATGCAAAAGTTATCTTGTTAACCTTCTACACCATTTGTATAATTTATTTTTTATTGCCTGCTTTACTCCTTTTTTTCCTTACGAGCAACGCTGATTAGCCTACTCGATTCCCCTCCAGCAGTATTGTTTATTTGAGCAAATGAGCTATTTATATGAACGAACGACTACTACTGTTGGGTGCTGAGGTGATGGTCTGGTGGCCTACTTCAAATCCCAGTGTTAAGCTGACATACGACTGACATTTCAAGGTCAATCAGTAATCCATCATCACCTAATTTAGGTTCATTTGGTCGGCCATGTCTTCAGATTTATTTAGGAATAGTGCAGCGTAGAGAAATAGCACAAATATCTCAAAGTTGTGCGTTGATTGTGCACAGTAAAAAAGGTAATCCTCGGTATATTGGCGAATAAAACTAGCTCAGCCTACAGTCCCGACATCTGTGGGCCGCTAATTGGTGAATCTACTCACATTCTTACGTTGAGGATATGAGTAGGCTTTGCTTTACACGTTTTGCTCATACAAATGCCATTACAATCAACAGTGGCACCCTTTGAATTGGTATGAGCAAAGGTGTGGATAGTTGGTGCATGAGTGTAGCCAACTGTACTTCTGTTGCTACTATGTACAAGCCACCAATAATTCGCTGGACCATTAAGCCATATGCGATCAGTGGAGGACTACGTTGGCCATGTCCTAGTAATGGTTAAAAACATTTCCCTGCTTCTCCCTTTTGATTTTGCGTCTTTTCAACTCGTTTACTAAAGCACAGTCAGTAGTCGGTGACCCTTTGCATTCATGACGAAGTGTGGAGAGTGTATGATGATTGGTATGTATCCATGGCTTGTCATGCTCTGTAGAAGACCTAGGAAATAAAGGACATTTGCTGTCAGTAGTGGACATACTGTGGCCCTGTGGTACCGAGAAATGACCAGAAGCCGTATTGACCTTGTGTGTGCGCCAAGGAGCCCTGTTGATTTTATTTGGAGCAGTTAATTGCACTCCCGCGTTCTACTTGTGAAAATAGCTGTCTTCCTTCTTTTGATTTGGCTTTTCTTCCTTCCTTCTTTCTTTTTTCTTCCTTTCATTTCTGAACCAAAACCATCTGACGGCCAAAGCCGGCATAATAAGGGGAACCTACTAAACAATATATGATAAGTTATGGTGCCTTATTATCCCATATAACCACGGTCATTCAAAGGAAAACTTACAGTTTAGTAATTTTTCCATCACTGGCAATTCATAATAGGCAGCTTCCCCGTGACAGCACTACTGTCAAGTACTTGTAGGAGATGTTGATAACAACATAAACAACCCAGATTCAGGGTTTCGGGCGTTCAATTTTACGAAAATTAGAAACTGACTTTTAGTACATTCGGCAGGGCTGGAAGCTGTTAAATTCGGTACACTCACTCAGTTCTCTTCTTTTGACAGACCATAATTTTAAGACAACCCTTCAACGCTCTATGAAATCTACTGTTCTTGATGGTGTCAAGATCATGCAGAAGTTACACGCCAAAAATAATGCAAGATATTTTCTGCAGTCCTTACTCTGAAATCAGTGTATTTAATCAGAAGTCATCTTTCCTTTTGGTGTTCGGCTGACATTCTGATTACCCAAGGATTCAGTAAACCTGCCAAGGTAATTAATTTCATATACATCTACACTTAGCGGAAAATGTCATCTTATATTTAAGTCATTGAGATTGTCAATCCTTCAAATAACCAAAAAAATGTGTAAGTTAAAGATGCTTATGCTATTTAACACATGACTAACAAAAAATAAAAAAAATTTTTGACTGTACAGTCAACGACATTGCAAAATGCGGAGTTAATTCATTGTACCGAAGAGTACGTTTACAAAAGAGTTAATTTATTCTTTCTGATGAGCACGGATGTTGGATATGCATGTTATTCATCGAATCTCGAGCACCCTGAGATGCAGGCTCGTTCCCTTGACTATTGGTAGATGCATAGTGATGGAACGATGACTTTCTATTGAGGTAGTAATGTCCTTAACGGCATGCCAGACCTTTCCAACTTGCAGCAATATACTCTGCCTTAGTGCGCACTAGTGCTATTATCGAGGAACCGTACTTCACAAATCCTCCACCCATCCTAACATGTCGATGCAGAACACTAAATTCCTCCCAAATAATTAAACCAGGTCCACCGAGTAAATACGTGCAGCTACTTGGTTAGCAATACCAAACATAAGCGAAAAGACGCAACCTGGTATTGTTCAGCCATAAGTAGACCTGAGTTAATGTGGACTTAATCACAAGGCAGAGGTGGTACTTTGTCCTCCAGCCAATTCAGGTAGACAATCTAAGTGGGAGGCACTTGATAGATGCGGGCGAGTCTGCTGGCTGACCGCGGCTGCTGCCAGCCGCGATGTGTTCCCTTATCTGCCCAACTCACCAGGCTAATCTGCAGCGAGAGGCTGTGTTTAATGGTTCCCATTAACTGGACAATTTCACCGGAGTTGGTGCCATCAAGGGATAGATTGAGTCCGTGATCAGACGACTACAGAATTGTGTTACAAGGACTGCAATCTGCTGTAAGCAGGAAAGGGAAATGCTGTTTAGGTGCTAATCATGATAGGTAAGTAAAAACAGTTTAACACCCAACAATCCCTCCGGCAATGACTCATCATAAAAAAGATTCCAAATTGCTGTATTCATAAGGTCAGCAAGTTCTTTACCAGTGCCGATTCAGCATTCAAGTTTATGCGCTGAAGTAGAGCCTGAATAGGCTCATGAGTGTCTTCGTGGTAAGTTAATCATAGAGTCGAGGATGACTGCCAAGTTTAAAAGTACTTCAGATCTCAGTGTTGTTCATAATACATATTTTGCAAAATAGCAAAGCTGCAATAAAACGCTAAATGTCGAGGTAGGCACTAAGCTAGTAGGAAAGGAGACTATATTAATTGCAAATAGCAAATAGCATAGCTCTATTCTTCTTTTCCTAGCAGAAAAGTTTTGGTGCACTAATTTGTAATCATGCCATATTGCACACATGGTTTGGCAGCACTTCAATCATGATCATGCAGACGAGGTAGAGCACACTGCTATTCGTTAAACTTCTACTGTAAACAATTTTTGTGAGTAAAACTGCAACTACTGCATGATGGCCCTCTTCCTTGTTTCTTTAAAGACAGGCAATTTGAAGCTCTCTGATTGTAGCCACCACGATGTAAAGCATCCACCATTTCAAAGCCTTGAAAGTACAAATTCCATAATTTGGCTCCTTCTGTCTGTGAAAAACCAAAATATTAGAAGTGGTGAAGGTAAATGCTAGTAATAACTCCTCCGCAACTTTCATTCCACGATGTAGTTATTGTGAGAGGTTCAACCTGTCCTCCTTTCTAGCACGCCACAACACTGTGTACTTGCAAGAAAAATCATTCAAGCGAAACAATGTACTTGCCAATAATGGGGAGATTTCCTGTGGATGTGCATGCATCTTTTATTCATTGAGGGATTATCGCCTTAAGCTTAAGAATTGAATGCAAAGATTGGATTTCACAAGCTCTGGCATAGCAGTAGGTGGCTTCTCTGAAATAGTTGAATAAGGAAATCTGGACCACCCGTCTACTCAATCTCATCCCCGTTTGTCCAACTGTATACAAGTTTATTGCAAAAAACGGGCATTTAATTAAGCCCATCTTAGTTAAACTAAAGAATTCAAATGGTAAAATCACATTAATCAACTTTGGCGGCCACCTGGCATTACTTGTGGGTGCATTGCTGAAGTATGCAATTGCAGTGTACATGGTGGAAGTGGTAATCTTGCTTCTATTTAAAAAAATCTCTGACTAGAATCACCCTGTAAAGTTTAACCATCAAGTCCCAATCTCGCACAGTGAGTGAAATCTAGACCAATGACGCAGTCCCTGTAAAGTAGCTTCCTGTTAATGCAGGCTTATGAAAGAAGAGTGCTAGTCCGTACCATAGGAAAAGCCTGTCAATATCCACACCCGTATTCGTTTTCTCAATTCCGAAATTGCACTGTTAAAAGTGCGTTATGCGTTTGCGCTCCATCTGCTCTACATTCCATGGGAAACACGTCGAGATGGAGGGAAGTTTTGCATGGAGGAATTATATTCGCGAAGTGTACAACCTTCTCATTGTATTCAAAGTAAACTTTCAATTGAAAAGATTAAGGTGACTGCATTCGGTTGAGTGATCAATCGCAGTACGCTTTGGCACTGATTTAAAGTGTCATTACTTCATGCATAACATCTGCTACCAGTAAGGCAGATTTCATACACATTTTTCTTCTTTTTAGCCAGTCAGTTTTAAGTGTCACACAGCCTCAATAAATGCTTCTTTGCCATCTACACAATTAAAAATCCCGGTTTTGTTGTTTTAAATGAGGACGGCATTCACCCTCATCATACTTCTGCCATGTCCCCTTATTTTGCCTAAACATAGAATGACAAGAGGGTGATTGGCATTTGTGGCTCGCATTGCTCGCGCCAGTGGTGATACACGCGTCCAAATGCTTGTGCTACTTAAGTGAATAAAGTAGAAGCCATTTACGTAAAATAGAAATGAGGTATTTTGCATATAGACTGAAGTGAATGCCACGTGAGAGGGAAATTTTTCTTAGGCCTTCAGGTTGTTAGAAGGTGGATTTTTGTTTCATGAAATTAAGCTATCCTGCTAGAAATTATCACCCCTTAAACATGATTTTTGCAACTTTCCTACATGGAAATTTCATTTTCAAAAGACTACGGGTCTTTCCTAGATGCTCGTAATTTACAATTTTCTGTAGTTAACTAAGACAGGCTGACAGTGCAGTCAGCGTTTGTCGAAAGACATTTCATTCGTAGTTGTTTAACAAAAATCATTTCTTCCAAAGTGACCTCAAAAAAGAATCGAAAAACGCATTTGAAAGGCCCTTTTTAGAGTCAGTGTCAGACTATACACATACGGATTGGTGCATCCCACGAAAGCATGTCAACAGGTCCAGCTATTGGCATTGATTTGGGCACGACTTTCTCATGTATCGGTGTTTTTCAAGACGGTAAGGTAAAAATCCTTGCCAACAATCTGGGTTACCGCAAAACTCCGAGTTATGTGGCCTTCAGAGATAAAGAACGAATCATCGGTGATGCCGCAAAGAATCAGGCGGCCGTAAACCCCACACATACGGTTTTCAATGTGAAACGGCTAATTGGGCGCCGTTTCAACGATGAGGCAGTGCAAGGTGACATGAGACGATGGCCATTTAAAGTGATAAATTCAGGAGAGAGGCCGAAGATTGAAGTAAAGCACCGCGGTGTGACGAAGCAATTCACAGCGGAGGAGATCTCGTCTGTGGTGCTGCTGAGGATGAAGGAGACCGCAGAGGCGTATTTGGGTGAGAGGGTTAAAAATGCAGTGATTACAGTACCGGCTTGTTTTAATGACAGTCAACGTCAGGCGACGATTAATGCTGGCAAAATAGCGGGCTTGAATGTGATGCGCATAATCAATGAGTCGACAGCAGCTGCGCTTGCCTACGGTTTGGACAGGAGAGTCGACAGGCAGCGCAATGTGCTCATCTACGATTTGGGTGGTGGTACTTTTAATGTGTCTATCGTGTCCATAGAGAATGAAAATTTTGAGGTGAAGGCCGTTGGTGGTGACACGCATCTAGGAGGTGAGGACTTTGATTCTCGACTGGTGGATCACTGCGTGGAGATGTTTAAGCAAGAGCACAAGGGAAGAGATTTGACGACCAGCGCAAAAGCCATCAGCCGTCTGAGAAAGCAGTGTGAAAATGCAAAGAGGACATTGAGTTCGGCTGAGCGCACGAACATAGATGTAGAATCGCTGTTTGAGGGTATCAATTTCTCTGCATCGATCACACGTCGCTGTTTTGAGCAATTGTGCTTAGACCTCTTCTTTAGGACGCTAGAGCTTGCGAAGAAGGCATTAAGTGATGCCAAGTTGGACATGGCTGATGTTCACGAGGTATTGTTGGTGGGTGGATCGACCCGTATTCCAAAGGTGCAGCAGTTGCTGCAGAACTTCTTTTGTGAGAGTAAGTTGAACAAGTCCATAAACCCGGATGAGGCAGCAGCTTACGGTGCGGTGTTGCTGGCATCCAGTCTCACTGATGAGAAGCCGCTGATGCTGGTGGAAGTGGCGCCACACTCACTGGACTTGGTGACAACAACGTTGATAAAGCGTAACACGAAAATCCCAACGAAGACGTCAGAGGTCTTCACTACATCTTCTGACTATCAATCGAGTATGTCATTCCAAGTGTATGAGGATGGGCATACAACGGCAAATGACAATAACTTGCTGATCGAGTTCCAGTTGTCAGGTATCCCATTAGCGCCGTGCGGTGTTCCTCGGGTTCAAGTGACCTTTGCTATTGACGAAAATGGCATTTTCGATGTGTCGGCAGTGGACAAGTCGTCGAGGAAGCAGATTGACATCAGTATTAAGAACAGGTGTTGTCTGTCGGAGGATGAGATTGAGCAAGTATTAAATGATGCGGGGAGGTTGAAGTGGGAGGATGAGAAGCAGAAGAGTAGGATGGCAGCGAAGATTATGCTGGAGAAATACATCTTCACCATAAAATCCAAGATAGAGGACGACGAGGTAAAGCAGGAGACATCGGAGGAGTTTCGCGAAAATGTGCTTACCATGTGTGATACGATGCTCAAGCAAATAGACATCGACCAAATGGCCACAAAGGAGGACTACGAGCTTATGCACACAAAGGTTGAGAGTGTGTGTGGCCCCATCATGGCAATGAACATACTCAGTCCGTGAGCACGGAGATATGAAAAGTAAAATGGATGAGTCTACAAATTAAATTATCTCCTCTTCATTCGATCCTGGGTCACTCGAAGTCACGAAATCTGGAAATGGGCTTACTTTGCTGTGATTGCCTAACAGTAACCCGTGGGGATTTGTTACCTGCTATGCATTTCAGTGACTATACATGTAAGCACTTAGCTATCCATTTACCCACAAGCATTCAGCACACTTCTTTACTTAGTTATTTGTAACACGTCATCGGCCAGTGAAGTTTCAAAAGCAGGAATCAGCTATTACTTCACTTCATATTTTTTATGAAATTACCATAGGCAGTTCAACAATGGGCCTTGTCATATTGTTAAGGTTTGGGACAGTAAAATCAATTACATGCAATTGGCTTGAAATACATATGGCTTTTACTATTTAAATTGACGCTTCCAAATTTGTGCCACGATTCAACGGTTCCTCATTCCACGGAAGTATGGTAAAATGGTCACTAACTGCTCGTCGTCATTAAGGTAGAAGGTACCTTTCAAGGTGGTTACAACAGGACAGACCAAGTAGAAGTTTAAACAAAACTGAGCAATAATAGCTTTTAATCCTCCCACGAACACTTTTGTATCCGAGTGTGCAATCGTACTTATTTTTCCACATTTTGTCTTTAGTCATTCAAATATCCGCGCCAATAATTACAATGGCCTATCATATTTGGACGGGATAATCTAAGTCAAAAATCGGCCTGTCCAAACCAGCGCTCCGAGCTGGGATTTTTAGTAAAAATGTGCAATAATTAGTCCGTTGCACATTTCTTAATTAGGGTCAAGTGTTGTTGGCTATAGAAGGTTCTTCAGCCGATATTGCTTTAAGAATTGAGGGAGGGAAAGATTCTGCTGTTGGGGTGTAGGGCATTGATCATGAGATTAGGATTAGAAGTTAGAAAGTTGTCTCCTTAAAAGCCAAAGCAACTCCCTTCACTGCTTTAAAACGCGAAGGTGTAATATTGTGAATCATGTATTCCTTGAATTATTGCTTTTGGATTAGTAAAGTCATGGCTACTTACTTCCACGATATTCTAATGCTAGAAAATTAAACTCCTTCCCCTACCCTTCCACCTTTTAAAACACGAAGTCACAAAACCCAAAAATGTGATTATCTAGATGTGAGAATGTATGCATTTACCCATTTTAATGATCGAAGATGGAAAAATAATTTGACCTGACCTGTAAAATGTGCATGCAGGAATAGTGACTGCCGATCACACTCCTATCAATGCTGGAAAAAACTTTGCGTTTGAGAAATGGACTTAAATTTCACTCTGTTCAACAATAAATGCAACTGTGCTGGTCAAGTAGATGTTAATAACTAGACACGAAGGGTTATTCGTACGTTGGGAATATGAAGCCAATTGACTACCAACTAGATATCTTTTACCTTTTATCCATACAACTCTCACCATCTAAAATTCCCACGGATTAGACAGAGATGGATAATGATCTGAAGAAAGCAATTGATGGGTGATGTCCAATCCTTTAGGCGTGGACATTGACTGACAAAGATACTCAAAATGAATTTTTAGTTATATGTGATTAAGATGGCACAGATTTCGGGTTCAAGTATGTCATTAATCTTCTTAATTTGAGAAAAGAGAAATGTTTCATTTGCTTCATATTTTAGTAACTGTGAGCTGCATGAAAGAAAGACGACAATCGCTTTGCTGAGTGATCTGCTAATTAAGCAACGTTAGTCTTCTTTAAAATTAAGAAATTGAATTTGGAAAGTGCATAGACGTAGAGGATGTAAGGATAGAAAAACAGCTACCGAATGCTATTCTATGAACTTTTGTTAACAATTTCGGGGGTGAATTTGCCAAATGAAATATCTACTTGCTGATGCAAAGAGAATTGTTACAGTTTAAATCCAATCTCTAATTCATAAGAGGAGACACAGTCTATGATGAATGAGTGAATTGATGAGGTGACCAGTATAGTGCATCCCTTTATCCCAACTAATCTAATTGCCTTTGAAGTGAGGTGTTTGTGCATTAAATGTTCTTTTTCACGAAGTATTACATGAACCTGAATAATTACCTTTAACCACCTCTCATCTTCCCTGTGCTCCTGCTTTCACCCACGTTTTCGTGCCCAACATTGCGTCAAACAGAAGAATATGACTTAACAGATGTTGATGGGATCAGTCCTATGTGCGTGCTCAATTGTATAGTACGGACCTCGATTCTTTGCATGCATGCGTTGTGTGATTGGTACAGTTCAGATCACAATAGTAAGTGCCACAGTAATTACTGCATATCTGTTCACACATCC